TTATTTTTGACTGACCTTTCTTAAAACATGCTGGGAGATGTTCACTCATTCGTTGGTTAAGTTGCCTGGTAGTACGCCCAATATAGCTATCTCCACAGGAGCAGCTGAGTTTTTAAATGCACATAGGGTAGGCCAGCTCAGGTAACTTACTCTTCGTTTGGGTGACATCGCTGGTCTACTTGAGAAGGTTATCGCAAGTTTGGCTGCATTGAATGTTCTACTAATTGCTCTCATTAATCTGTCCTGCAGAGTATCGTAGGCCACATCTCCGTTGAATTGTAGTTTAATAAATAAATGCTTGTTTTGGACGGTTGAAATTACTGACTTTTTTACATCAACCATATACTTCCTTATGAATGCGCCGGGGTAGCCGATCTCGGTCAGTGAGCTGTTGATAAATCCCAGGTCCTGACTTAATGTATCCACTGAACAGATCATTTTTGCTCTGCTAGTGCGACATCTAACCAAATTTCTTTTGTAGCGGACAGGTGTAAAACTATAAGAGTGAATGTAATGGTAAGCAGCGGGATTTTTATATATACGCTTCTACTTAGCGAGTCATCACTTCGCCTACTTAGTGTGACGTCAAGGAAGGTCAGCTTTTTATCGTACTCCTCTTCACCAGTGAACGTGATAGCCGGGTGTACAGTGTTGAATTGTTCCAGGAGTTTTTCTTTGCTGATGTCCTGGTCTGCAATGTTGAATGTGTCATTGACGTACCGGCAATATGGATCAAGATTCTGAATAGCTTCATTAAGTGGTCCAGTTTCTAGCTTTGCCAGGAAGAGATCCGCTAGAATTGGGCCTCGAGGTGAACCCATGGCTATACAGTCTATTTGTCTATAGTAAGTGCTGTTGAATACAAAATGGACGTTCATCGTACATCTTAGGGGCAATTTTTTAAGGCAATCTTCGGGCAAGTCAATATTGATTTGTTTCTCCTTAATTTGCTCGCATATGAATTCAATGGTCTTAAGGAGTGGTACGTTAGTAAACAAAGATACCACATCCATTCCTGCTAACATTCATATGTTCTACTTTGGAAGTGAACTGAAAATCGTCTTTTACACTCCTTCGTACAAGTGATTTATGCAATGGCTCTAAAATTCGCACTAACCACTTTGCAATTTCGTGGTACGGAGAACTGAACATGTCTAGAACCGGGCGCAGAGGAAGACCCGATTTGTGAACTTTTGATAAGCCGTATAGTCGTGGTGTGTAGGATCCAGTAGGCTTAATTAAGTCGTAAATTTCAGGCGTAATCAAATCCTTTTTCTTTAATTCCTTGAGAGAATTCGTCAGTTGATTTTCCACTTTTTTTATTGATATCATTATTACCGATGACTTTTTGAAACTTGCTAGGATCATTGAGCATTCCTTCTATTTTATCTATGTAATCAGTTTTATTCATAAGAACTATACCCCCCTTGTCTGGTTTGCTCATGATCAAAGTTTCATCTTTCTAGACTTTTGTTAGAGCATCACGGTGCAGTTTAGTGAAAAGGCGATTTTTAGGACGCTTACTATACTTACACTGTAGGCAGCTATTGACTAACGTTGTCTTAAACCTAGCTACATCTTCCACGGAGGTAGGGACGAGGTTAGTTGTTTGTGAAAACAAATTCTCAAACTGCACATCGGTATCTAGTTGATTGACCTTCTGCCCATTGTCAAAAAAATTTAGGCCCGAGGGACAAAGCTTATAACTGTATTACATCAAGTACAATATTTGAAAAATTATGTACATACCGAGTCGGATCAAGAGGAAATTCCTTCTCTGGTTTTTGATTTTCCAGAGTTTTCACTAGTTTTCTCATAGTTTTCTCAGATCTGTTCTTAGAAAATTTTTCGACATAGTCCATAAATATTGAATGAATCTCTGATGGCAGGCTATCTACTTAATGTCGTCTGAGAAGAAGATTCCTTTCCAAGTCTCAGATATTCATTTTTAAAGTATCAATTTCAGTGGACGCATGTCTTTCAAGTGTTTCTGCATTAGGAAAGATTCTGTTCCGACGCAATGACTTCCAATATACTTTAGTATATCTGTTGAACTGAATACAATTAATAGCAAATCCTAAGCTCGTTTTCACTTCCGTGAGACGCTCATTAAACTTCAGGAACTCACTGAGTGCCTTGAATGCAGCAGGATCCCCACATGATTTAAGAATATAAAAGATTCCAATTGTGAAAATTAGAACAACACATATAAGCGAACAATATTGTTTTCGATTAGATCGTCATCAGGCTTTACTCTAATATACATGAATATTTATACGAAAATGTTTAACCAATCAAGGCAATTTGAGTCAATAATCACAATGAAATGAAATTGATTACATCACTACACATAAAAGGCAAAAGTACAAATTGATAGTAGGAAGACAGGTATACTGATAGGAGTAAGAAAAATAAAATACGATCACAAAAGTTTTATCAATAGTAGGTCAAACGTGGATAAATAGACTTAAAATAATCATAACAAAACATTAAAATCATTAGGTAATAAACGAAAGGGTGCAGAGAATTACTAACAAACACAGGATGTGAAAATAATGCTAGTAATAACAAAATAAAATTTAAACCCCCCAAAAAAAGAAATTTAAATCTTAAATCGTTAGTTATGTAATATCTGGCCGCGGAAGAGGTGGGGGTGTCACGAATTTCTTCTGAACACATAAATTGGGGTTGAATGTACGAATTCCTATGGCTTCTGCCATGTGTAGGAGACGGGATCGAACTCCGTTGGGAAATGACGAATGTGAACTATCTGTCGACTTATTTTAAAACAGGATTTATATGAAGTTCTAAAATGACAACAGATTCACAGTACTAGAAGTCATCACAGGATTTAGATGTAACCTAGGAGACTAATATATGGACCGTTAATGTATGTAATCTAACTGAAAAAACTGTCAGGTATGTTTATTCTTTTTATCGTAAGTTTTCTGTTAGCCCATAAATTATTATGATACGACTTGGTGTTCAAATTTTGCTGACCATTTACAATCTCTCTTACTTATAGCCACTCTTGGTTCATTCACGTTTAGTCTTTAATTTCCATTTATTTGTGCAATGTGCTCTAGTTTTGTGTGTATATAAAAGAATGTCTGACATAGAGTAATGAATCTTGAACTGGTGGTCATTGGTCTTTTGGTTTGGCAAGTTAATATTGGGGCTCCTTCAAGCATAGATTTGAAAGTCATGTCATCCTTATTTCATATAGTTCACTCAAAAGTCGTCTGCTTATTGGCTGGTGTATAGCCATACAATAGTGTGAAGAATACTTCTCGGCCATTCAGATGAACTTCACTATACATCGTATCACATGAGGTACATTTCACTAGTACGATCCTCTTTGGAGCCAATATATTTTTAATTTAGCTTTCGCAGCATGTTACACAGATTGTTTGGTTTCATCACAGATCTGTTTATCATTTCTGAGCATCTTAAGAACTTGATATCGGTAATCTCCACTTAGTTTGTAATAGCCTACAGACTATCCTTCTTTGCATTTTGAATTTTATGTAGAATTCCAATCGACGATGTCTTAAATCTGACTTGTCTGTTAGTTTTATCTACTTTAAACAATATTCATTATTTTATTGTATGTAGGAAATAGAGGTAAATAAATGTCTAAAAAGTTCTTCACTGACTTATGTCTATGATGCATGTTTTAGGAAATCTTTGTAAAAAAGATTTCAAGAGATGTTTATTAAATGGATAGTTGTTGGTGTTAAGTTCGTCACTAGGTATGCTTGAAACTATTATGGGTTCACTTTAGTCAATATACGCGAACGAGACAATGAACCAGCGTCCAGGTAGGCTACCCTGATCTGCTGACTAATGAAAAGTCTTAATGTAGAATAGAAAGTATATTCTACAAGCACCTAGTAAGCACAATACAATCAAGCACACAAATCTCGTTTATTTTTACATCATAGAAACGTTCTTGGGACAATCACAAAAACAGCACACCAAAGTACAGCAGCCAATCGTAGCCAAGGATTTTCCTGATGGCAAATGAAATTTCAAAGCCAGCTGATCAGCCCATGCTCACAAACATGAAATCTGAAATAAGGCATTTGTCAAGCGAGTTCTGGGAATCTAACGTCCCTAACAATTGGTCCTTTGCTGTAACCTAATTAATAGTTTTAAGGAGGTCACTCATCTAATAACACTGATTGCTCTCATACCGTGAGGTGCTATTTTCATGAATACTCTGAAAATTTCAATACATCGTCAGCTAAGAATATATCATTATAAACTATATAGTTTACCATACGGATATGTTTATATAATGTAAAAGGTAATTTAACAGTTGACTTCACCAAAGTGTATAAGAAATGACAAGTTCAGAAAATCTTTTTGTGCGACACAATATCACTAACACTTATTAACTACTGATTAATAGGCGATTTCGAAATCAGATAAATCATCACAGAATATTCATAAGGTTTTAGTTTCATTTGTTTACTAATACATGCTTTCATAATGAATGTTGGAATTCTCTTACAACAACATAGCTTCAATCAACCTGAAACATACATGATTCCATTTAATTTTATTTTCCTTCCAATTGTTCAATTATTAATAAGTAGTTGTTGGTTTACTGAAATTAAAAATATTAAAATATTTCATGAATATACACAGTCTGATCGTTTGTTTCTGCTCTCTTCTGATAATTCAAAGTGTTTGTTTGATATCGGAATGAAAACTACAATTGAAAATTCTCACTTTGATCATAAACTTGCAAAAAAAGTATTGGAAAAAAAAATAGAAATAATACAACAAAAGTGTTTTGAATGTAGCTAAAAATGTTAATTCACATGATGAGCACTGATGACTCTGGTAATAAACACGACACTACTAATAACAAAATTAGTTCAATCATTTGGCATGCATAAACACACAAATTTCACAAAACACAAAACCACATCTCAAAAAAAAAAATTTCAAACGTAGTAAAAACTGTATATAAGGAGTGAGATATTATTTCATTCAATTGAAATATTGAACACAATCACAGAGTAAAACTACGAATTAAAAGTGGTAATGACGAAATTTATAAACTTATATATATATATATTTACATCTACTAATTCAGTTCACAGAACTAAAAGACAAATAGTATAGACCCAATACACAAAATAAGAGAGAGGAAAGCAAATAACAGGCATGGAGGATAGCCGAGGCACAAGAATTTTCGTTCTCATTGGTTTAGCATTGGCGATATGCTTTACATTGGTAGCAATTATTGGAGACAATACTCTTACTGGTAAGTAATAGAATATTTTGAAATATTTTTCGTTTAAATAAATTAAATTTTGCTCAGAATTGTTTATAACATGACTAATACTTGTAATATTATCTTTTTTTTTGAAATCAGACAAATTTGTAAAAATTTCATAGTTTAAATCATAAAATAATCCTAGAAGTGCTAAACTGCTATTTCTTTCAAGTGTGCAACTTATCGACAGTACACATCAACGAACTCGCATCCGAGTATCTATCTCATGACCTTTAGTCTTTTGTAAAACATAATGAATAGTTTTGGGCGAAGTTAGCTTGTTCCCAACAGTAGAATTCAAATAAACAATATCGAGATAATTCCCAGTGGAAAGTGCTTCACTGTCCTCTAAAGCTTTAGCGAAGGAATAACTTCAAAACTTACACACTACTGAATAATGGTTTATTGTATTTAAGTCGATTATACTTAGATAAATAATTTGCTTTATTTGCATCACACTGAATTTGCTGAATATTATTTTTTTTCGGATGTTAGGATTGAGTAAGTGTGTATCTCATTAACTGACTAAATAATCGCATCATAGATTTAACGAAGGCAGTATACATTTAAATAATGCAGTGACTGCTCAATAAATGCTATATAAATTAGGAGTAATTATTTAAACGGTAGTCATTATGTATTCAAACAATGTACTGTACAATGAGCCCGCTATTACGGTATGTGAACCTAGGTAAACAAAACATATTCCACTTTTTGAGAATTGACTAAAACAGATGAAAATAGACTGTTATCACTCAGTGTTGAGATGCCCTTGAAAGCTTAAACCTAACTGAAAACTGAGATGTTTACTGTTAGCCAAAAAAAAACCAATGCCGGTAAATTAATGCAGTGCTACAGAATAGTTATTTAATCAAATACTTTATAACATATAATCAACAGAGTGAGTAACGTTTTGGTTCAAATGACAGAATTCTCAGTTAGAATCGTTCTTATTTTAATAACCAATGTGTTAATCAAAAATCACGCGACATAATCAGTGGAATTTATAGCTTTGAATATTTTCTATCTGTGGAAATGTTTCACGTCTAAAACATTGTTTCATGCATCCGACTGTTTCAACATATGGTATTTGAAACAGAATAGCTGAGTATCACATGGCTAAAGTTTAACTTGATGATTTCAAATAGATTGGGAAATAAGTAAATTGTTATTAATAGAGCAATATTACCTTACTCATAACTTGCAAGGCTTATTATTGATATCGTCTAGCTTGTACAATTCATATTATAACCAGTTTGTTGCATCAGAATAAATTAGAATTAATTTTTTAAAAAAAAGAAAGATTCAAAATCCACATCGAGGTTTTCCTCATTAATGAGGGGCTTCAGTCTCTTCATAACTATCACAATAGTTTTAAATTTAGACAGTATCTAATCTCACTTGTCAGTATTTATTACTGAAGATTTGCAATAGAAAATAACTGAATCAGCATTTTCAGCTTTTCAAAAAAATAAACACTACTGAAATAAATGAGAAAGTAAATTAGGTATGAACAGATTCATAGTTCAAAAATACTTACTTACTTATCATTGTATATTGTTATTCTTTCTATATTTTGTACTTATATTGAAGTTTTTGTGTTTGCTTCTGAACTGTACATATGTTGTTTAAATTTGATATAATATGGCTACCGCCACATTTTTGGATTCATCATCGTGCAGTATAGGAGTTCACCTAAACCTCGGAACATTGATACTCGTTTGGAGTAATTCTGAATTGGAAGACGTAATATTAGTTAGGTATTATTTGTATTTCCATTTGTAATTTGTAAATAGACCATTCTCCCCTAGAATTATTGTGTTTTAATTTCAAAATTGGGAAGTGCGTCCAACCTACGTCTATTGGAATCGAATTGAACTGTCACGATGAAGAATTCAACTACAAATATATCCACTAATCTAACCACATATGAACTGCCAAAGTTTCCTACGTATGTGGAGTATCACTCTTTACATATTAGTAATCGTTTGATTTGACAGACAGCCTCCCTTTACAAGGATTATTCGAATAACATCTTTAGAGGTTTACTTTAAAGTTGTGGCCAGTCAACAATGTCTGCGAAATTTTCTGAGGAAATTGATGATACCTACTAGTTTCCGACCAGGTTCGCGCAACCTACATCTGTAAAAGATTATCGCTTAACCTTTTGCACAGCTAGTGGCCGCTTGTACGACTTCGATATTTACATTGATCTAGTCATTGATCAATATCATGCTTGTACAATCCTTGGTAGTGGGAGAATCCTAATGACCAATCTGCAATGTGGTCACTAGAGGCAGAGAATCGAAAACGCGTTCAATATATTTCGATGCTGGTTGATTGGATTTGTTATTTTGTCCGAGTACTGTTCGAACACTCGTATTTTAGAGCAATCTGAGCTATTGATAACACTTAACGTACGGCTTACTTACTTACCTACTTTTGCCTGTCACCCACAATGGAGCATATTCCGCCCACCAGTTTTCACCAACCAACTCTGTCCTGGGCTTCGCTTTCCAGTTCTGTCTAATGTTTGTTCATTCCTCTCATATCTTTCTCTATTTCTCGGCGTAATGTGTTCCTTGGCCTTCCTCTATTCCTTTTGCCTTGAGGGTTTCATGTGAGGGCTCGTCTTGTGACGCAGTCACGTGCTTTTCGTAGTGTGTGTGTCCTATCCACTTCCACCGCTTCTTCCTGATTTCCTTCTCCACTGGAATCTGGTTTGTTCTCTTCCACAGTAAGTTGCTGCCTATCGTATCTGGCCAACGAATACGAAGCATTTTGCGTAGACAGCTGTTAATAAACACTTGTATCTTCTGGGTGATGCCTTTCGTAGTTCTCCAAGTTTCCGCTCCATACAGTAGAACTGTCTTGACATTTATATTGAGAATCCTGATTTTGCTTTTGATTGAAAGTTGTTTGGAGTTCCAGATATTTTTCAACTGTAGGAACGCAGCCCTTGCTTTGCCAATCCGTGCCCTCACATCTGCATCGGATCCACCTTTCTCGTCGATGATGCTGCCCAGATATGTAAAGTTGTTAACGTCCTCCAGGGCATCTCCATCAAGCGTGATTTGGTTGGTGCATGTTGTTTTGCATCGGAGAATTCGGCTTTTTCCTTTATGTATGTTGAGACCTACTGCTGCAGAGACTGCTGCTACACTGGTCGTCTTCTCTTGCATTTGTTGTTGCGTGTGCGGTAGAAGAGCCAGGTCGTCTGCGAAGTTCAGATCTTCCAGTTGCGTCCTAACTGTCCAGTTGATACCGTGCCTCCCTCCAGATGTTGACGTCTTCATAATCCATTCGATGACCAGGATTCAGAGAAAGGGTGAGAGTAAGCAACCTTGCCTCACACCAATCTTCACCTAGGAACGGTCTGTTAGCTGTCCATCGTGTACGATTTTGCAGTTGAATACATCATAAGAATTCCGTATGATGTTTACTATTTTCTGAGGCACACCGTAGTGTCGAAGAAGCCTCCTCAGTGTTTTCCTTCCCAGGCTATCGAATGCTTTCTCGTAGTCGAGGAAGTTGATGTAGAGTGGTGAGTTCCATTCAATTGATTATTCCAAAATGATCCATATTGTAGCGATTTGGTCAGTACACGATTGATCCTCACGAAATCCGACCTGTTGATCTCGAAATTTGGCGTCTACGAAGTCCTTCATTCTGTTTAACAATACCCTGTTGAAGACTTTGCCTGGTATCGAAAGAAGAGTGATCCCTCTCTAGTTCTCACACTTGCTGAGATTGCCTTTCTTTGGAATTTTGATCAGGTACCCCTCTTTCCAATCTGATGGTACTTGTTACTCATCCCAAATCTTCTTGAAGAGGATGTGAAATATTTTTGCAGTTGCTTCCACATCTGCTTTCATTGCCTCTGCTTGAATGTTGTCTGGTCCTGCTGCTTTGCCGTTCTTGATTTGTCTGATGGCCATACTGATCTCTTCTATTGTAGGTGCGCCAATATTAATTGGGAGGTCCGTAGATGCTGGTTCGATGTTGGGTGGGTTAGTGGAGCTGGTCGATTCAGGAGTTACTGAAAGTGCTCTACCCACCTATTTCGCTGTTCTTCAGTGTTACTGATTACTTTGCCTTCCTTGCTTTTCACTGGTTATTCTGGTTTACGATAGTTTCCGGCGAGCTTCTTTGTAGTTTCGTACAATTGTCTCAAACTTTCTGTATCTTGCAGCCTTTTCCACCGTCATTGCTAGATCTGACACATATTTTAGTTTGTCAGCTCTGATGCTCTACTTCGTGACAAGTTGAAGTGATTGCCTCTTTAATCCCTTTCCAATTGTTCTCCAATGTTGTGTCCTCTCCATTGAGTAGGTCCTGAAAGGCCTGGAACTTATTGTTGAGGGCCATCTTGAATTCGTTGAGCTTTACAGTATCCCGAAGTAAGACCGTATTAAACTTCCGTGATGTTGTCTGTCCCGTTGTCCAGTGCTTCTTTAGCTTCAGTTTCATTTTGGCGATCAGCAAATGGTGATCTGAGGTTATATCAGCTCCTCTCCTGATTCTTACATCCTCCATAGTCCTTCTGATCGTTTTGTTGATGCAGATATGGTCAATTTGGTTTTGAGTAGTGTGATCCGGTGAAATCCATGTGGCTTTGTGAATGCGTTTGTGCGGGAATATTGCGCCACCGATGACCAGTTTGTTGAAGGCACATAGGTTTGCAAATCTCTCACCGTTTCCATTACTTTCTCCCAGTCCATGTCGTCCCATGATTTCTTCATATCCATTGTTGTCCATGCCAACCTTGGCATTCATGTCCCCCATAGGAATCGTCAAACCCTTTGATCAACATTTCTCGACGATTGACTGCAGCCTTTCGTAGAATTGATCTTCAACGTAGTGATTGGTAGGTGCAAAACATTGGATGACGTTCATTGTAATGTCCGCTTTCTTTGTTTTTAAGAATGCTTTAATGATTCTGGGTCCATGAGATTCCCATCCTATCAGTGCGTTTTGTGCTTGTTTGG